TAATAATAATAATAATAATAATAATAATAACCATTTACGAAAAATAGTAGTAAAAAATTTTAGGAGCATTATATTGCATAAATTTTTTGGGAACTTTTAAAATATGAGCATTAACTGCTTTAATACACATCTATATATATATATATAGGGTTGGGTTCCAGTGAGAATGATTCTTAGTGAAAGAAATAAGAATACATCATAATCATCGGATCAAACAATCTAACGGATATCAAAAATCCAGTATTTATTTATTCATTAAGGGTGTTTTGGACATTTTAATTATTAATTATGGAACACATGCCAACTAAACCTTACCCCCATCCAATAATATAATGACACATGGCCTATACAACACACATCTCACCAACTCTCCTCTCTCACAATCTGACACACACGTGACACACACAACACAGACACAGTTACACGCACAACACACACACACACCCCACGCGACACACACACAACACACACAGACCGCCGGCGAGAAAATACCCACACACACCGCCGCTGTCGGCGATCACACACGGCACCACAGTTGGCCACTATATTCACCACCGCCTCCGCCGCGCCATCGCTGCACTGCGCCTCCGCCGCCGCCGCCGCGGCGTCGACTGTAATCCCATCCGCTTTCGCCAGCCGTCTCACTTCATCTCCGGCGACATCCATCGGCATCCAACCATCGATTCCTCTCAAGACAAACCTCCATCACTGCCCCTACTCATCTCCGACGACCTCCATACGCCGGTTGTTGGGAAGAGACATGGCTGATGGAGGTGGATATCATCGAGCGACGCCAACACCGGACGCTTCGCCGCCTCCTGGAGCTCGAAACTCGCCATCGACGGTGTGGGAGAAGGTGATGCGGCAATTATAAAAGCTGAAATTGGAATGGGGTTTGGGCTATCTTTTTGAGAATTAAATGATGTATAGGGACTTATGTGCAATTGTAATAATTCTAACTATATTTCAATTTGACACATGGGTCAAATTTGTAAATATTAAAAGTTAATAAAATAAGTTATTTTGTTACATAGTGTGTTATGCATATGTATTAAAATAATAAATAAAATATTAAATAAAAATAAGATAATATATTAAAATAATATAAAAATATTTTTGTAATAATAAATAAAATATTAAATAAAAATGATGTAAGATATTAAAATAATTTAAAAATAATTTGTAATAATAAATTATATAATAAAATAATAAATAAATAACTATTTTAATTATTTAGATTAGTTTGATGTACAATTATACATGTAATTTATCTGAGAATATATAAAATTAGCTAGTGTACTGCATATATAGTAATGTCGCACTTTATAAAATAACATGTTGCACTTTATAGAATAATATTTTGCACTTTATCACAAAATGTACCAGTAAACACAAGCACGCTAACGTACCAAATATCAATATGTTGCACTTTATACAGTAATACATTGCATCTTATAACACAACATGTTGCACCGTATGAAATGACACGATGCACATACTAAAAATTTACTAATATTGATAATCAATCGAATAATATTAATCGGTTAACTGACGAATTCAATCTATTTAAATAATTAAATAAATGAACATGCCAAATTATATGAAAAAATATTACCAATTAAATTATTTGTTTATTTTTTTTATAAAAAAATACAATTTTTTTATGTATATTCTTGTATATATTGTGAGTGCACATAAAAAAATACAATCTATTTATTTTTTTATATGAACTGCACATAAATATCTATCGGATTGCAAAAAATCGAATGAGACCCAACTAAACATGAATTCGGTACATATTTTTTTATGTTGATTCGATTATTGTTATTATTTTTTTATATATTAATTATTTCGATACCAAAGTTGCAGTAATTATGTTAATCGAATGAATAACATTAGTTGGATAAAAATAGGATTTAGTTTTTATAAATAAATAAAATAACCAAACATGTTGAACTATATGAAATCTTTTATCAATTTTTCTTTATTTATATGTTTTTTACAAAAATTAATAATAATTTTTATATCTATATTTTAATGTATTGCAATTGCACGCTAGGGTTATACGGGGTGCACGTAAATACTTGACAGATTGCACAAAATCGAACGAGATAAACAAATAAAATTCAATACAAAATTTTTTATTTGGGGAAATTATTGTTATTATTATTTTATATATCAGTTATTTCTGTAAGATTTCATTTTTTTATTCAAATAACCAAAATAAAAAACAGATTAAATTAAAAAAATAATAATTTTTATATATTTTTTTATTTAGATATCCGAAATAATCGAATAGCCGAACTACATAAAAAATACTATTATTTTTTATTATTGTATTCTTATGTATATTTATTTCATTAAAAACTATATTTGTGAACTTTTAAATTTTTAGGAATTGAGAAAACTATGATTTCCTAAAAAACATGGCTTTCTTTTTTAATATGTACATTTTTCACATAATAATGTGCCATTTATGTAATTTTAATGTTCATTAAATATACTTTTATATTTTTATTATATTACAAATTGACCTCATGTGGTAAATTGAAATAAAAGAAACTTGACCAAATTGCAATTAATCCCCTATAAAATATCAAATTTCCCAAAGAATAACCCCCAATTTCATAAAGCAATTTCAGCACAACCGCCCGTCCACATTCGCCGGAGCTCAGCTCGGAAGTTCCAGCCACCGTCAATATGGTCACCGCCGCCGTCTTCATCGCCCATTACGTGACGCCGCCACAACCCGCCTCTAGGACATCGACAACTCCATCTACGCAGAAAAAAAAAATGAAAATCGGCCATTATCCTCACATATCGTCGCCTCCTTTGTGCAGGGTAGGGGAAGGACGGCGGTGGCGACACGGCTGTGGGAGCGATTTCCGATGACGACATCCAGAGGCAGAAGAACGTCGGAAAAGACTGGTTCGCCGGCGGCAATGAGTTCCATGGATGATGTCGTGTGCTGAGGAGGGTATGACGTCGACGTTTCAGCTGCCGTGGGGGAACGTGGTTTCACCGTCAACCGCCG